GAGCCGTATTTGAGGAATCCTTGCTTCTTGGATGCGTATTAAAGTGGGTGATTTCAACAGACTCTGTGATGATGTGCTCAGTTGAAGAGCTAAAGGGAACTGTGGGCCGCTGCAGATAGGGGGGATGGTGAATCTGCTTTAGAGGCAAATGACAGATGAGTAGAATGCTTGGGTGGCTTTACATTTGTTGATGGGGGAGAAACTCTTCGTTGCAGTGGATCTCTATCCCGACTAATAAAAAGTTTATTTTCCCTAAGATATTCAGCTGAGCGCTCCAAATGGGAGAAAATAAAGTCCATCTCTATCGACGAAAATAGTTGGACAAGTATTGATGGATTTTTGCTCCTAGATCAAAGTCTTCTAACTTTAGCGGCCGTAAAGTTCAAGCCACATAAAAAGAGGAAGTGGAGAACGACATCGATTGGCTGTCTACTCTTAGGAACGTTTTTTTAAAATAAAGTTATAACCTCCTTTGTGCTTGTCCTCGGTCTCACTAGCAGCCACGTCAATGAGAGACATGAACTGCTTACATTGCTGAGAAGTAAGTGTTGGCGACTTTCCTTCAAGAACTGCACCAAGAACAGGAAAAATTGAACCGTAATGAGACATAAAATTGTTAAAATTATCGACCGCTCCTGGGTCTATTTTTTCATATATACAATGGGTATCAGATGGAGTTTAGTCTCCTTCAGATTTTGACGAAGGGTTGTCTGAGGTTCCACGTCGAAAAAAGCGAAACAAGACTCTAGTTTAGCTACCGAAACTTCAAGGAGATATGAATGAGACCATGTATGATAAACAGTTTCTTAAAGCTATCAATATTGGTGGGCCAGACAGCATAATTCATATCAAACTATTTTAACTCAATAACGGAATGAAAAATTGGAAAAAACGGATAAATGGCAATTATGTAGGTGGCAAGACAAAACCGTGAGAAAAAATATATTGGATACCGAGGCTATGTAGGATAAAATAGAGAACAGTATAAAAATCGACACTAAAAGCCGTCAGTGGAGACGGTTTATCGTTTAAAATATGATGTTCAAAATTTTACCACGAAAGCCTTTTATTTATATAGGTAAAACTTAAAGGGATTGAGGCTATGTTGGGCGAAAACTTTGACACTTTATTTCCGCTTTACGAGATCGACAAAACACGACAGGAAGCAGAGATGACCTATGTCAAAATAGATAATTTTGCCAGATTTACGCGGTAAGACTGTGTAAGAGATTAAGTAGTCGAACTCAAAATATAAATTTCACTCATTTTTCCAAAATCGTGCTGCACGCGTTGACCTTATCTTATTCTATCCTGAAGTCCGGGTGACAGCGAAATTCATCACTGACCGATTCATCTGACCCACTACGAATGTGAATTTTCGACTCTAAATCCAATCTCGTCTTTCCTGCCAGTACTTCGAAATTCGGAGGCATACCTTTATCTCGATAGGCACCTATGATGCACTTTCATCTGCGTCCACATCGACCTAGTAGGTTCTCTTCTACCATCAAGCGTTTCTGCCTATCCCCTGACTTGCATTGAATGTTTCATTCAGTGGCCGGTTGCTGTGCCTATTGCAGAAGTCAAAACCGAAAACGTGGCAAATGTTTTTCTGTCGTTTTTGGTATGCAATTTTGGCGTTCCTGAAACTGCCACGACTGAACACGAATCCCATTTCGAGTCCACACTGTTTCATGAACACGATTGCCTCTTGACAGCAGCCAGATTCGAATAATGGCATACTATCCCTAGGCAAGACGCTTGTCGGATGTTTCCATCGGCAGTTCTAGGCAGCCCTGATGGTCCTTCGATGATTCTTTATGGCCCGGTGATCTTCTCTTGGGGATGGCATTTCTCTATTCTACTGCCAAGGACGACGTCAGTTACACCGCAACCGAACATCCTGGGACTTTGTTGTCCTTAATATTACTGACTGAGCCCGTAAAATGGACAGGGTGGAACATGCGCTGAAACAACGAACAGGCTAGATCGGAGCCTGGTAGATGTACCCAAGATGTGCACACATAACAAATCCCAATATTGGAGGTGTGAATAAATAAATAAATAATCTTTTTGACTACCCTTGAGGACAGTTTCACAGCAGGTAAAAAACTTTTCAAGTAAATTTTAAAACAAATAGACAGATTCGGTACAGTAATGGGACCCCTACGGGTCTTTAATAAAAATTATCTATCTATCTAATCAGTTCATGGTTGCAGAATAAACAGTCAGATTAAAAATGGCCGGCGAGCAGTGAAAATACTCCTTATTAAAAAAGCAATGAATATGAATTGATTAGCTTTAGAGGAGAAAAAAACTGCCGTCCGTGGAGTGATGAATATACGGGTCGAAGAGGACTGGCTTGCATATGGTATTGCAGAAGGGTCCCAAAAAGAAATCGTCAAGGGGAGATTCCTAAACCAGATGAGGCTATCTGATTCGAAATGGCGAGACAGAGGAACCTAGAAGCGATCGGTCGCGGTCCGCTTATAGTCTGGACGAGGATGGGGCATTTAACGTCACAGTGGTCGTCAAGACGTAGAGAGGAGAACACGACCCTGAGACCTCTTCGCTGACCGACCAAACTACTCGGAAATGGCAAAAACGGACGCTTTCGCCGTGTTCGTCGACAGACCACTTAGGTCCAAAATTGGGAGTTGACATTAAGTACCATGAAAACCATAAATTTGGGTGG